GAATAGGATATTACGTTTTGAGTGGACTCGGACATGTATAAACTGCTTGCCTCTCTTTGTCTCACGCGACCATAACTTGCGTCTGTACATCTATTCCCTGGCCGAATCAACTAAAAGGATTTATCTGCTACTCGCTATTGGAGCTTGGGCTATCATAGACAGATTCCCATACACTCTTTTATTTTACTTTTTTTTTTCAAAACATGTGCAGTTATCGTACAGCTACAGTTATATACTTAGGCACAATCAATTTCTACCGTTGTATATATACGAAATGCTATATACTCTAGATACGGTTAATTTATACGGAGAGTACCTTCATATACGGTTAATTTGGTCAGTTGCTATCGTCAGTACGTACGACATGCTGTACTGGATCAGTAGTTATATTGCCTACCCTTCTAGAAGTTGCGGCGCTATTCAATTCGCGTAACCGTAGTTTGACCTGCGTTAATAAAATTTTCTATCCCGAATATTCCATGAAGGAACACTTCCGCATACATCATGGACTTGTAGGTTTGATCTCCCTCTATCGCCTTGGCCACCAAGCAATTAACAAGCTTGCGCGCAGTGCAAGGAAATTACTTCTCCTAGGCGAACAAGAAAAAACAAACTCATGCTGCTGGTAGAGATGATTGATTAGTTATTCTTCGGTTCTTCAGGTGTTGAATGGTTCAAAGAATGACGAGAAAATAGGATTTCGAGTTCACGTGACGATTGTGCTAGTTACAGTATCAGGGAAACTGCACGCACTCGTTTTCTGGTTTGCCGTTTCCCTCCCCACCTATAGCTAGCGGTTGAACTTTCAGCAACAAATCATATTGGTCAGTCTTTACCAGTAGGAGTACGTACGTGACTACTACGTGTGGGATGATTAGCATCCTGTCTGAATCATTGATTTCGTGATACGCTGTTTTAAATTTGGCTGTGTTTAGATCTAAAGTTTGGATCCAAGCTTAAGTCTTTTTATTATATCAACCTGCCATACACACATGACTTTTCAGTCACATCATCTCTAATTTTAATCCAAATTTAAACTTTACGCTGAACTAAACACAACCTTTATACCCACCCGGACATTAAAAAAAAAAAAAGGTACTACTACTTCCCGAGGAGGAAAGAACCGCCGCCCGCCGCTCGGGTCGGGTCGGCCGGTCCCCCACGCCCGCGCGCAAAAACAACGGGACGAAATTAAGCTCACACACGACCTTGTACGTTCTTTTTTTCTTGGGAGGCTCACAAAGTCACGATCGGTGCTTGGAGCGTGCGCCGCTAGAGATGGCGCGCGCGGCAGGTGACAACACATCGGCCGGCCGGCCGGCCGTCGGCCCGTCGCGCGATGGCTTTCACGCGGATGTCACGGAGTGGAGTAGGGGAATTTTTCTGTCACGGGGACGGAGTCGAGTAGCCGACGAAAACGAGCCCATTAGATTCACCGGCCGCCGTGCGCGATGCGAACCGACGAAACGTCTGTTGCGAACGTTGGTAGGGACCAGGGAGTAGTACCGGAGTAGAGAGATCGATCCGTCCGGTGTTTGGTGGATACCGTTCGTGGTACTACGTCGCGTGGAGTTGTAGGCCCGTCTCCGTTGCAGGCTTGCAGCATTGCGACTCTGCAACAGTGTGATGGGCTTACATGCATGTCCTGCTGCTTAAAGGATTGAAGAAACAACCGTGCAGTGTACTATGCTTGCTGGTACTCCCTCCGTATAGTCCATGAGCCATAGTAGCCTAGTAAGAGTATCATTCTATTCGCTCAAAAAATAAGTTCTGATTTTTATATATCATATCAGATAGGATCAGGGGCGGACCTACGGGGTGTGCCAGGTTGGCACTGGCATATGCAATTTTTTTTGAAAAAACACTAGACGTAGTATGCAATCAAAGGATATAAAAATAGAATCTTATCAGAAAATTATCATGGTTTGTCTGGAGATCTTGTAATCGTAAAGAAATCAAATCAGGGAAGAGGAAAGGACTAAATGAAGAGAAACAATGGGGCCAAAATTCTTCCATCAGAATTAGATGTTTTCTTTTAAAAAATATATATAGTGGAGCGATCGTTAGAATGGATACACCCACTGTAATTTTTCTGGGTCCGCCGCTGGATAGGATGTATTTTTTCCCTTGGAAGATGGAATGGAAATTTGGATGTGATCCTCTACTTATAGAGTACTTAGAACCGGAACCGGTGTAGAGTAATAAAAGGAAGTGATAGTTGGAAAACTATTCTAATCCCTCGAGGGGATGTTCCCTCGTTTGCTCAAAAACTATCTAAACGGTTATGAAAAATTCTGGAAAAATTTGACAACATTCATACAACACATATATACAACTTCACAAAATCTTAAGTCCAAACTCAACTCACACGTCGAGATATAAAAAAGACAAATTCAGCGTATGAATATTAGCGTACTGTTTATATCTAAATTTGTCTTTTTTTGTTTCTCGATGTGTAGATCGAATTTGAACATGAATTTTGGTGGACTAGTAGGTATCATTATACTCTATATTGTCAATTTTTTTTTAGATTTTTTCACAACTATTTGCATCGAATTTGAAAGAAAAAGGTATATTAGGGGATATCCCCTCGAGGGATTAGAATCCACTCCCGTGATAGTTGTACTATTGGAACCGAACACCAGATATGCTAAACCATAATATTGTCAGTCAAATAGTCTCGTTATGGTATTATAAATTTGTATCAATATATGTAACTATCAGAGATGATTCAAAGTAAAAAAGTATAATAATTTAAGTACTTCATGACAATGTTCTAGCATCAACACTGACAATATACAAGGATTAAACTTAATGTTCATTTCATTATTATGCGTATTGATATAGCCTTTTTTTCGAATATTTGGGTGAAAACAGTATATCACGGAAATAGAATAAACTCTCCACTATTTCCGTTTCCATTTACAGACATTACTATATCAGAATAAATAATGGTAGAAATAAAAAAATAAACAGCAGGTGATCTGGCTAGGAAATTCCAGATTATTTTCATTTCTGAACCACATATGCGTAAATTGAGGTCCAATTATTATTTGACATCATGGTCCATGTAACATTTACCCAAAAGAAACAATGTGTCATTGTCCTAGAGCAGTAATACAAGCAATGTGGTAAGCTTCTGTGGCAAAATCATCAACTTTCGCACAAGATCACATGCTTGTAAGTTGTAACACAACAAAAAAATAATAATCCACAGCAATTACCAGGTGAAGACCGGGCCTACACGCAAGGATTTGCCCGGAGGCTTGGCCGTCGCCCCTCCCACAAGAGGATATATAGCCGGATGTTGCCGTGCACTCTTTTCAGTATTGCCCGCGGATCACAGCATAAGCATCACCGTAATCCGTAATAAGAGCAGGTACAATAGCAGGCTATATAAGCCAGCTATAAACATATTTTAAAAAGATAAAGGAAGAGAGAGAAGAGCAGTGGGCTACAGAACTGTAGCCAGCTGCAGCACGGGCTCCAAAATATAATGTGTGTATGACAAGTGGGACTAAATATTAATAGTATAGTAAGCAACTATTGTATGAATTAACTATTATATTAACTATAGATGATTTGGAGCTAAAGCACGCACGCACGTACGTTCCCCGCATCCCCGGGCTCAAAACAGCGAATAAATCGGCCCCGGCAATTCAGGTAGCACACACGACACGAGAACGACAAAAGCAAACATGGCACGGTAATCTCGTCCACACGCAGGCGGATGCATCCAATCCAATCCAAAAACGCCATTGGAATCGGTGCTGCGGGCAAAGAAAGAATAGTTGGTGGCGTCGGAACCGAGTACGTATTCGATTCCACATCGATCTCCACCACCCTACCAGGCCACCACCACACCAAAGGCACCAACAACTTCCACAGATGCTAACGCTGCTAACCCCCCCCCCCCCCCCCACACACACACACACACACAAGCGAACAACTAACCCCGTCAATCTCGGACAAGCTGCATTGTGTAGCAGGTCGATCCCCATTTCAGCCGCTCACGCCGCCCCGGTGGCCGGGCGATGTTTCACGCGCGGAAGCTGCAGCGCAGGCGGTGATCGAGCGAACGGTGGTGGAGGAGCCAAAATTTACGACGCCACCAACCGCGCGGGCATCCGCGCATGTGCGGCCGCGCAGTCACCACTTTACTACTGCCCCAAAACACTTGGGATCCCCAGTACGATGTCAGTTTATGGAAGCCTGATGAGAAATTGAGAATGCATTCAAGCTTGGTACCATCACGCATTTGGTACTGGAGCAGCGACCAGTGGAGTGGGTGCTGATGAGTGAATCCGAGGGCTCCTCTCTCGGCGTGCCAATGGAGAGAGGGACGGTGGTTGGCCAAGTGGGCACCCTCCCTGAGTCCCGGAAAACTTTCACTGCGTGGGCAGCTCAAACGCATTTGTCAGCCACATGGAGCACAGCTATGGTGTCCCAGAGGGATTTTACTACGGTGCATTTTGCAGGAGTAAAAAAGAGTTTATATAAACCTTTTTTTTTGCCAGAACCACGTCGATATAGAACGGTATAAACCTTGACCTTTTAAAGATAGTGAGTATAAGCCTTAACTTGCCAAACCAAACTTTAGACATGGTACACTTTCTTAATCAGTTGTTTGAGTTAACGTATGGCTAACCATATTTTTCATGTGACCCACGTGTTAAATACACCTTTTCTTTTTCTCTTAAGCTTGTGTAAGGGTGGCTATCCATACTTCTTGTGACAAGTCAGTAAGTCACACCTTATCTGGGTTTAACAAAGTTAACCATCAATCAAGCGACCCCAGTACCTCATTTCCAGCCATGGATTATGTTTTCTGTTTGCATAGGTACCTCATTGATGGCGCAAGGGCACTTCAAAGCATTTACTACTTTGAGAGAATGTTGCAGAAAAATGTACAAAACCGTGACCATTTCTATTACTCCCACTGAAAGGAAGTAACAGGTATTAACATCAATGGCTACCCAAAGCGAAATGGAACACATGGATGGACACAACATTAGGCCAATTTTGCTGTTCATCATTCCTTATGTACACTCTTCAGTAATCCCCTAGCTTGCATCGTTGCACGGGGAAATGTATCCAACAAAGAAGAAAATAAAAGGGAAAGGGGAAAAATACTATACAGACTGTACTCCATTAAACACAAGAGCAAAGTCGATTTATGTACTCCACCGCGCCGTACTTTGTCTTAATTATGTCTATTACTAATAGAGACCCCCATAATAATTCTAGTCCATAGAAAAAACCAAAATAGCTATGTAATTTTCCATTTTTAAGAGAGAGAACGCTAAAAAAGAACTCAATAAATACGCTCAGAAAAATACGGAGAAATCGCCTTCTTTGGACGGATCTCTCCTCTGCTCGCCATCGCCGACGGCCAGAGTTCCACCTGCCTCCGGCGAAGGCTTCTCCACCACACCCGCTGCGGCCCCGCCGTCATTGGCCGCGAACACCTCGTTGACGACCTTCTCGACGTCGAGCACCTCGCCGGCCTCGTCCTCGTCCTCCGGCGGGGGCGGGATGAACGGCGGGCGCGCCACGCGGAGGATGCGGTCCCAGTCGACGCCGTTGAAGAACGGGTGCGCCTTGATCCCGCGCGCGCCGATGCGCTTCTCGGGGTCCTTCTCCAGGAGGCGGGCGATGAGGTCGCGCAGCGGCGTCTTCTCGCCGACGAGCTCCGGCTGCTTGGAGAGGACGCGGTAGAACGTCTCCTTCCTGTTCAGCCCCCGGAACGGCGTGCGGCCGTAGAGCATCTCGTAGAGCACCACGCCCAGGCCCCACCAGTCCACGGAGAAGTCGTGCCCGCTGCCGGCGATGATCTCCGGCGCCACGTAGTCCTCCGTGCCCACGAACGAGTTCGACTTCGCTGGCGACCGCACGCCAGCGGCGGTGGAGGACGACGCGGTGGTGGCCGTCGAGGATGAGGACGAGGACGACGCCGAGGCCGTGCGCGAGGTGGACGTTGGCGACGGCGAGTCCGCCGACGCGGCCGGCTTCGTGGCGCCGACCGAACAGAACGGGAAGCACGAGGCCGCCCCCGGTTGCCTCTTGCCCTTCGCGCGGTTCGGGGACGGTGAACTGGGCGGAGGCTCCGGCATGGAATCAGCAATCGTTGCGTCCTGCTCCTCCGGTGGCGGCGGCGGCGTCGGGAGCCTCGTGGAGAGGTCGAAGTCGACGAGCATGATGTGGCCGCTGTCCTGTATCAGGACGTTCTCCGGCTTGAGGTCGCGGTACACGATGCCGAGGCTGTGCAGATAGTCGAGCGCCAGCACCAACTCCGCGGCGTAGAAGCTGCAATCAGAAGCAACAATCAACAACGGCGAGGTGGTTAGTTAACCCATTCGTGCGCGGGTGGGTGGCGGAGAAGCGGCGATGGCCAAACGGGGGGGATGCGAGAAGCGTACCGGATGACGGAGTCGGAGAACATCTTCTCGGTCTGGCGGCGCCGGAGCGAGTTGAGGTCTCCGCCGCCGCAGCGGTCGATGGCGAACCCGACGACGGCGTCGGTGGCGAGGACGCCGCGGAGGGAGGGGAGCAGCGGGTGTCGCAGCGACATGAGCACGTCCCGCTCGAACCAGATCCGCCGGTGCCCGTCCTCGCCGCCGCTCCCGTTCTTCTTGTGCCGCGCCGCCTCCCGCGAGACCGCCTTGAGCGCCATGGAGGCCTCCTCCTCCCCCGCCGCCGCGGGCACGACGTGGAACACGACGCCCTTGGCGCCCCGGCCGAGCATGGACACCGCCCTGAGGTCCCCCAGGCTGAGCTCCCGCGGCAACGCCGGCTCCGGAGGCGAGGGCGCCATCGCCGCCGCCGCCATGGCTGGCGAAGGACCGCGCCGATCGATCGATCGATCGACCAACCGCTCGTGGACGGGAGAGAGGCAGTGAGGAGGGGAGGAGAGGATCCGAGTGGGGTCGGTGCGCGAGGGAAAGCAGGGGAGGGGGGAGCGTGAGATATTGGGGGGGATTATTTGCGGTTTGATTCGAGGGGATTTTATGCGGCCGCCGGCTTCCTTGGAGGCGAAGGCGAAAGGCGAGAAGCGCACGGTCACGGTGTGGTTGAGAAAATTTTTGAATGGCCGCGTTTTACTTGGATTTTTTAGTGGTGGTGTTACGGTTTTGAGGCCATTGAGGGCGCTGTGTCGCGTGGACCGGAATCATCGTCTGGTGCGATGCGAAGTAGTACAGGGGTTTGTGATGTTTGCAATAGAAAAGGGGAGGAAATTGGGGGAAATCGGGTGGATTTCGTCAGGTCTACCTGGGACTGCGGTTGGGGGCCTCGTCTTGCGCGGATTTTGTTGGTCTTTGTACGGCTTCTAGAAGGGCCGTTTGGTCAGAGGCACGACTACAGTGCCCAGAAACTTTTACTGCTCCGTACATTCTTTTCACTCTAGAAGGGCGGTCGTCGAACCCGTTTAAATTAGCTTACTGCACCCAAAATTTATTCAGCTTGTAAATCGCACATAAAATTTAATTTTTAAAGCTTAAATTGGATTCAAATTTTATAAATCGCACTTAAGTTGTTTACTTTATTTTTCGATATTTATTTTTTAAATTGCTAAGAACACATATATAAAAATTTTGTTTACGAATTACATTTAGTTGTTTGTTGAATAGTCGTTACGGCTTATTATGAGTATAAGCGAAACAATCATTGTGTTAAAAGTTGAAGGGTATCAGTGATATCCGATTATAACGATTTTGTAATGGAGGTTAGAATTAACTAAGTTACTCCTAAGTGTTCATTCAAAAGATGGAAGAATGTGTTTTCTTTTTTTTTACAGGTATAGCTATAATTGTTTTGTGTGGGTTGCACCTGACGGGTAATTATAGAGCTATCCATGTTTCAATGCAATAAATCACATGAATGTATTTGCTCTCTTTTTTTTTGGAAAACTGAATGTGTTTGCTTCATATGTGCTAGGTTTTGGCGCACAGTTTTTACTAGTGACGTTATAGCATTTCAGCAATCAGAGCCAAAACCGTTTGGTTAGCCTCTAATTCGCTAGAACTAGAGCACGGAGCTAATAATAAGAATACCACTAAACTTTTATAACATGTAAAAGAATGGATCAACAATAATGTAAAAAAGAATCTACAAAGAAGAAAAAATAATGTTATGAAAAAGGAAAATCTAGAAAGGAGAAAGGCGTCATTCACACCGATTTGTTTTGCGTGTGAGCTTGCTCCTCTAGACTCTAGCTAATCGTGAGCACACGTGAAGCTACGTCAACATCTTTAGTAGCAATAAACTCGTACTGGTTTGAAGTGTGAACACTCATTTTTCTAACTAAAATTTCCTTATCATTGGTTGAAAATCCAAACAAGGTTTATTTAAACTTTTCATGTGTTTCTTGCACAACAAACTTTGTACCCAAACTGACCAGGCAGCAGACCTGCTGTTCAGTAGAAAAATAAAATGTGCTTAAGAATCTTTACGTCAACATTATTCGCGTCTTCCAGTTCTCCATAGCCTGCAGCTTCGGTGCCTTCCGGGAAATTCTAACATCCATGGATAGCAAAGAATGAGATCGATTTTCGTTCCTTAAGAGACACATTCTTTTGTTTTAGGTATGCTATATAAAAAGTTTAAAAAAATAGAGAAAATATAACATATTACGTGTGCCCAAGCTTTTCATGTACGCCCATGTGCATAACAAATAACAAATATCAAAAAAAAATTATAAAAAGGTATACTCGTGATATTAATGATAAGGAATTTCTGGTGGGGTGACGTGGAAAATAAACGAAGGGTTCATTGGATTTCTTGGGAGAATCTAATTTTACCAAAATACATGGGAGGCTTAGGTTTCAGGGACCTTCGCCTTTTTAATCAAGCGTTGTTGAGCAGGCAAGCATGGCGTCTTATTCAGTATCATGACAGTCTGTGTGCAAGAATCCTGAAGGCTAAATATTACCCCAACTGTGAGCTTATTGATGCAGTGTTTCCGGCAGATGTTTCCCCAACTTGGAAAGCTGTTGAGCATGGTTTGGAGCTGCTTAAGAAGGGGTTAATATGGAGGATTGGAGATGGGAGGAAAGTTCGGATTTGGAAGGATCAGTGGATACCTCGCCAGTCGTCCCTCAAATTGTCGCCACAGAATGGAAGATGCAGGCTTAGGTGGGTTCATCAGCTGATCAATCAGGATACAAACTCTTGGGATGCTGACCTAATTAAAAATGTTTGCTCTCCCCTTGATGTAAATGAAATCTTAAAGATTAAATTGCCACATCGTGGAATGGAGGACTTCCTGGCTTGGCATTTTGAGAAGACTGGAGTATTCACAGTTCGCAGTGCCTACCATCTAGCTTTGCACAACCAACTGAAGGCTAATGAACTGGGTTCGTCCAGTTCGTCGACAAGTGGAGAACGCAAAATATGGGCAAGCCTTTGGACAGCTCCTGTTCCACAGAAGGTAAAAATTTTTGCTTGGAGATTAGCTAGAGAATGCCTTGCCACTATGGAGAACCGAAAAAAGCGAAAACTGGAAATTGACTCAACTTGCCGTATTTGTGGCCTTGGCGGTGAGGATGGTTTTCATGCTGTCATATCCTGTACTAAAGCCGCGGCACTGCGATCGCTGATCCGGGAGGTTTGGGAGCTCCCTGACGAGCGTTTTCTGATTCGGTCAGGACCGGACTGGCTGCTCATTATCCTGGACTCAATAAACGCTGAAAGCAGGGCAAAATTTCTTTTACTCTTATGGAGAGCCTGGTTTCTCAGGAATGATAGTGTGCATTGTTCTGGGAAAGCTTCAGTACTAGGGAGTTTGTTATTCCTCCAGAGCCTTTGGGAGTCCCTGTTTATGAGTACAAGCCAAGGGAAGGTAGACGATAAAGGCAAAAAACCTGTGATGCAGTCTCGGCTCAGTTCTCCGGACAGCCATGAAAGGAATCACACTACGACTATGGGATGGACCCCCCCCCCCCCCCCCCGGCCGATGGGCTGGGTTAAAGTAAATGTGGATGGCTCCTTCATTCAGAGTTCGGAACCTGCTAGTGCTGGATTTGTCATTCGTGACCACACTGGCTCAGTACTGCTCACTTCCTGGAGAATTATCAGCCATTGTGGATCAGCGGAAGAGGCGGAAGCGACTGCATGTTGGGAAGGGGTGAATCTCGCAGCTGAGTGGGTGAAAAAACCGTTAATTCTTGAGACAGACTGTGCCAACTTGGTATCTATGCTTACGAGCTCTGGATTTGATCGAGCGCAGCTCTGCCATGTCCTCCGGAGTATTAAGTTATTACTCCAAGCTTTGCCTGATTTTCGTGTGCAGAGGATTAGAAGGGAATGCAATAGAGTAGCCCATGATTTAGCTAAATTTGCCATGCGTACGAACCATTCAGCTGTTTGGCGTATGCAGGCTCCTTCTTGTGTTTTTGGGGCTCTGGCAAATGATTCTAATCACATTGATGAGTAATCAATAAAGCGTTCCCTTCCCCCGCAAAAACACACACACACACACACACACACACACATATATATAGTCTTAACTTTCAACTCACTATATTTTAACGGTAAGAAAATAATTTTTTTTGACAATTTTAAGAGTATATACCTATTGAAATTTTTTTTTGTTCTATATATATGATAAATTTGAAGATAAAACCTTACATATAGATGTAATACTACTAAAAGTACTATAACTTTTCATATAATTTTTATAGAATTTTTAGTGATATTTGTTAGTTAGCATGTACGGTGTGTGCACGTGAAGGTTTATGTGCATATAATAAATTCTAAAAAATATTAAGATAGATTAATATATGATATATCACCAACAACATATAAGTTTGAATTCGACCTATACAATTAGAGAAAGCAACAAATTTAACCATAAATTATGTGTTATATTTATAGTCAAATTCATTATTTTTATTTCTGTTTGTACAAGTTAAATTTGAAATTGTATTTTGTAAAGTGATATATCACATATTAATATATCATACTAATCTTTTAAATATTTTTTAGATGATACGTAAAAACGGGCGTTCCCTTTGAGGGACTAATAAAGTTTTCCAGCAAAGAACTCCATTAAGTTCTGAACAGTGCTCCCAGAAAAATGGGGGAGAAAAATGCACATGTCCCATAAGTTCAGTTTCTTGTTGGCTAGCTGCAAAAATTTGTTGATATATTTATGATCTGATAGGAACAGCTTGACCGAACCAATGATGCGGATTAAGCCTCACTAACCCACAATTTAGACTACTCCCTCCGTTTCACAATGTAAGTCATTTTAGTATTTCCCACATTAATATTGATGTTAATGAATCTAAACATATATATCTATATAGATTCATTAACATTAATATGAATATGGGTAATGCTAGAAAGTCTTACATTATGAAACGGAAGAAGTAGAAGAAACAGGTGCCAAATTGGCCACGCTTGTTGCATTGGGTGACTGGTTATACTGTGGAATGTGGATACAGTTCGAAGTTGGATGTCATACGTCCCAGCATTACTACGGCCTTTGTGTACTACTCATTTTTCTTATAAGGTTAATTGGTTAGCTCAATTCGTCACTGTTGGTAACTAAAGCACGATGCCAATATAATCAACAATGCGTTTTATTCTATTGAGAACACTCATAATTTCTAATTTCTTTTGACGGGTCCCGTACGTAACTTTGTGTAATTCTTTTATTCTTTTTCTATTAATATATGAGGCAAAGCTTTTACCGTCCTTTCAAAAAAATAATTTTTATTTCTACCTAGTTAGGATACACATCGTTAAATCCACTCACATCCACTGATCCACAAGTTTTGCAATAGTAAAAGAAGTGTAAAAGGACTATCAATTCGTAAATTAGATTACCACCCATGACGGAAAGAAAAATGTAATTTGTACCCCTTCATATTTTAATTTTAATGTATGACACCGTTGACTTTTTCCAACATTTGACCACTCGTCTTATTCAAAAATTTTATGTAAATATAAAAATACTTATGTCATGCTTAAAGAACATTTGATGATAAATCAAGTCACAATAAAATAA